TTTATTAAATTGATAAGGTTTATCAAATTAAATTCAACGAATTTTAATTTTCCAAATTATAACTTACATTTGTGATTCGGAAATGTCAACACCATAATCTCGCGAAACTCTTTCCAAAGTGAAACTATTTTCTGTTGCTGAAATATATAGGATGATATTTCCGGTAAGTAATAATTAAATTTAGCAATAATGAAATGAACAAAACTAATTTAAATAAATTTTATCGAAGAGTAAGCGAATAAATACATTAAGTAAGTGAATAAGTAATCTATTGATTACAAACAACTAAGTAATTAAACAAATTTTCAAACAAACCATGATGTTGTTTTGGTGATGGGATAGGTATTTCCTCATCTGGCCCAGGTGTAATACGTAAATTATATCCAGTGATTACTTCCTACAAATTAATAATTTAATTGGTGATTTCATTTAATTGCATAACAAATATCAATCACTTAACAAGCATAACACATCAAACATACAATTAAGCATTATTTCTTACTATAAGGAAAGTATTAATTAAAATGATAAAGTGAAATTTTAGAAATTTAAAAATTTTCATGTCATCCAAAAAAAACAACTAACTTTCAATGCCAAGAAATAAATGTCAAGGAAAGTTTCAAAAAAAAAAAGAAGAAAAAAAAATTATTTCTAATCCATAATAAAAAAGGCAAATTAAATTAAATTATAATTCCGGTCAAAATTTAGATTTTGTCATTTGAAAATTTACAGTTGTTTTATTTTTCTCAAAATTTACGCAAAAATTATTTTACTCCTCCCGTGGTTTGCTTCTTTTTCAGTGAACCACGTCGTAATACTTCCGCGGTAGCATCAATATCGTATACTAATGCAGCCAAAGTATCTGTTACGGCATGTTGTTCTGCAAGAATTTTTTTTTTTTTACAAAAAATCTTTACACTAAATATGGCTAAATTAAATTAATTATCAAATGATGAATAATGAATAATTAATTAGCAATATATGATATGATCAAATGATTTGGAATTTAAGTGATAAGATATAAGCATATCTTATCACAACCAATCATCAACAATCACAATAATAGAAAACTTAGTTTAGCACTCAAATAATTTTGATAATCAAAAAATAGTCATCACATCATATTATGTTATCATATCATAACATTTTTTTTCCACATCTCTATGAGCTTTTTCACTTTTTCTTTTTCCCACTTCATATAATATTTTCCAGAGAAAGAAAAAAAGCGCTTACTTTGATCATCTTTAAGCTTAGTAAGTTCCTTTTGCATATCTTCAGTACTTACAGACTTAAGTCGTGAACTATCATCAGTTGGTTCCACCGAAATTCTTCCAGTTACTTCCATTTCTGTTTGAAATGACTTTCCTCCCATTACCTAAAATTAGAAGTTTGCTTTTTATTTTTGGGCCAATTAAATTTTAATTTTGTTAAGGTTATGATTTGAAAATTAAGTTTTAAAAAATTGAGAAGATTAGAAAAATTAAAAATTAAAATAATTTAACATTGGCTATTTTTTCATTTAATGATGCAAAAACTGTACAAAAGATTTTAGATCAACAAATTCTACAACTCTTCATAATGCATTTGTATTTTCGTTTGAATTTCAGTCCGAAATATTTGAATTAAAAAAACGAAATGAAAATATGAAAATTAAATGGGAATTCAAAGAAAAACGCAGTAGAAATGATAGTGGGATAATATGAAATACAATTGAAAAAGAAAATAAACTTTTTCAATTATAA